TCAATGCTATATTATAATCGCTTGTTTTCTTTCTAAATGGGTTATATCTTAATTATCTTTGTAGCCCCAGAGTTTATACTGCTCTTAACACATGGGAGATTTTTCAATGTAAGTGTTTGTTGATGAATAAGTAAATCATTTTGGTCTCAAAAGTTTTCCTTTTGAATTTCCATTTTGGAAACATATATCTAAGAATATTTTTCTAAATTATCCTTTACTGCTCTTTTTTTAAATTTAATTTTATTATGTTATGTTAGTCACCATACATCATTAGTTTCTGATGTAGTGATTCATGATTCACTATTTTCGTATAACACCCAGTGCTCCATTCAGTACGTGCCCTCTTTAATACCCGTCACCAGGCCAACCCATCCTCCCACCCCCTCCCTTCTAGAACCCTCAGTTTGTTTCTCAGAGTCCACAGTCTCTCATGGTTCATGCCCCTCCGATTTCCTCCCCTTCATTTCTCCTTTACTGCTCTTACCCATCTTGCAAGATGGCGGGTAAAAAAACTGAGAAGAAACCTGAAACCAAAGCTGATCCTGGTGGCAAGGTTAAGAAGGGTAACCTCAAGGCTAAAACACCAAAGAAGGAGAAATTCTGTCCTAGTCAGAGGAATTGGCAGATATTCCTGATCGGCTCTGTATTCCATAAAGACCATATACAAGAGGAAGTATTCAGTAGCTAAATTCTGGGCTGAGAAGAAAAAGAAAGAGAAGGTTCTTGCTACTGTCACTAAACCAGTTGGTGGTGACAAGAATGGTGGTACCCGAGTGGTTAAACTTCATAAAATGCCTAGGTATTATCCGACTGAAGATGCACCTTGAAAGATGCTGAGCCACAGTAAAAAACCTTTCAGGCAGCATGTGAGAAAACTGTGAGCAAGTATCACTCCTGGGACCATTCTGATCATCCTCACTGGGTACCACAGAGGCAAGAGGGTGGTTTCCCTGAAGCAACTGAGCAGTGGCTTGCTACTTGTGACTGGACCTCTGGCCCTCAGTTGAGTTCCTCTGTGTAGAACACACCAGAAATCTGTCATTGCCACCTCCACCAAAATTGATCTCAACAGTGTGAAAATCCCAAAGCATCTCACTGATGCTTACTTTAAGAAGAAGTTGTGTAAACCCATATCAGAAAGGTGAAATCTTCAACATAGAGAAGGAGAAATATGAGATCACACAGAAGTGCAAGGTTGATCAGAAATCAGAAATTTTGCAAATTCTGCCAAAAATCAAAGCTGTTCCTCAGCTTCAGGGCTATCTATCTATACACTGTGTTTTCTCTCACAAATGGAGTTTATCCTCACAAATTGGTGTTCTAAATTTCCCAAAGAACCTAATTAAATAACTTATCCATTAAAAAAATAAATTATCTTTTACTTACTTCCATTAAAGTTTTAGGTTAGTAGTTTTCAACTCTACCCATTCAACACTACAGATCCTCATCAAATCATCAGTTTTATTGTCTTTATTTTACTTTACGTGAAATTAATTTCAATTATTTGAGTATTCATTATATAACACACAAGTTCTAGAAAATAAGTTTTTCTTTCTCTCTTCTTATAAACAAATACTCCAGCTCATTCTTTGTCTAGCAAATAATATCAATTCTGATGCTTTTAAAATCCAAAGGATATGTGCGTGTTTGCAATTGTGCGTTTGTGTACATGCAGTATAAGCCAGGGCAAAGAGACAGAAAAGCAGAAAAGTAATTACCAATTGACAAAAGAAGGCAAAATGCTATGGACCATGAAGAAATCATGAAAATTGAGGTTTTCTGAAATTGGTGAGATACCCAAGTTTGGGACAGAAGATAAAGTTTGAAAATACCTAATCTTTCTTTTTACATTTAGGTAAAGCCAATCATTAGGATGTTAATATTTTAGACACTTTTCAAGTCTTATGAAAATGTTTTACAAAGAAGTAACTGAATGTTACAAGAATTTTACTCAATTGTTTCATTCTAAGAAATTCATTCATTATAAACAGTATACTTGCTGATACAAGGTAGTTGATGTTCTGCCACAATTTATTGTTTTCAGTGGTTACAGAGTTAGGCTTAACTTTACTACAGAATCTAAACACTCTCCTTAAATTGACCTATATTTTATACTGGGTTGAAACAATACTGCCTATAAGTGGTTAGAGCTATACAAAAATGAAAGACCCAGCAGGGGACTGTTTTGAATAAAAAGTCTTCAAAATATAATAACAGAATCACTGCTTCTTCCCCACTTCCTCTCTCCATGTTTCTTGGTGTTAACATGTAAAGTGGCATTTAAAAAAAAGTATGGGGTTTATAATGGAAATATTAGATAACTACAAACTGCATCACTGAGATGACAAATGCTTGAAGACAGTGGACCTCAACTGGGGGTGGGGAGCAGGGATTTTGCCCCCCAGGGAATTTTTGGCAATGTCTGGAGACTCTCTTTCTCTTTTAATTAATAATTTTTTTTCTACCAGTGGGGTGCTACTGCTGACATTTAGTGGGTAGAGATCAGGGATGCTGCTAGACATCCTTCAATGCACAGGACAGCCTCCCACAACAAAGACTTATCCAAATGTCAATAGTGCTGCCAAATCCTGCTCTAAGAGAAAATGTCCAATGCTGTCTTTCACAACTGACGATAGGAATTATGGACTAAGCTTGTAAGCTGCACATAAGCCACGTATAGATCTAGTACATGGAGCTCTGGTCTCCTTTGGAATGATAACTTGTTTGGGAATGTTTTCTGTTTACTTCCATACGTTTAACGTGATTTCTTGTAACTGAAAATATATCCAGAGCACATTAAGAGATTTTCTAGACACTTTATTACTACATAGTTTTGAATATTAAGAGATCTGCTTTAAAAGATTAGAAACACATCAAAGCATTCACCATACTTTCCACTATATATCAATAAATGATTATAAATTTAGTCAAAGATCTTTCAAGTATTGTGGTATATTTAACATTTTAAAAAATGGTTTTGATATTTTTCAGTGCTTACTTTTTAGTGCTTGCATGTGAAAATTAATTTCATTTAGAACCATACACAAATCTCTTTTTACTGAGCTTGTCAAAACTTTAATTTGAGCACTGATACTTCACAATGTGGGAGAAAAATATTAGGAATTTGTATTGGATTGAAAACATTAACTTTGGTTTAGGTTTCCAACAACTCTGACCTGACAGATAAAACTTTCTCAATTCCTCTTGCTTAAAATTCAAATAAATCTCCCACCCCCAAAACATGTACTCATCTATTTCCTTCCTTTCACCAGTACATCCTTTTAAATATTTGTTACGTTGCTATTATGTTGTTCTGTACCTTCTTCCCCCAAAGTCTTCCAGCTTGGGTTTCTTGTTCCTTTTTGTCTCCTAACCCATTTTGTCTGACATATTTGTTCTTAATGAGCTTAAATAGTATTATGAGAAAATCAGTAGGACACTATTACTGCCTTTATTAACTAATACAAAGAATAATTTAAGACTGATTTTACATGGTGATACTTATCTACATCAGTCTTTTTTTTTTCTGTTTTTCATTTCACTTCTCAGTATAGTGGTGGTTAACAGTTGAGGTTTTGATGTTAGCTGAATCTGTGCTCAAGTTCCACCTCTACTACTTGCTAGCCCTTTGACCCTGGGAAAATGACTTGCCTTTTTCTACACCTCTCTTTCTACATCATTACATTGGGAATAATGATAGAATCTACCATAAGTGTTTCCGTGAAGAGTACACGAGATAATGTTGTGATGTTCTTGCACAATAACTACCACATAGCAAGTGCTTAGTAACTATTAGCTATTATTAATATTTCTGTCAGGGGTGCCTGGGTGGCTCAGTTGGTTAAGCATCTGACTCTTGGTTTCATCTCAGGGTCGCCCTGCATGGGGTAATTGAGCCCCGCATCAGGTTCCATACTCAGTGGGGAGTCTGCTCCAGATTCTCTCTCTCTGACCCTCCCTGCCCACACCCTGCTCGCTCTTTCTCTTCTTATCAGTCATATAATAAGCATATTAAGGAACATTTACTACGGTTACTATTAAAGACAAATTTGGGAAGAGAAAGCTATCAGGAAGGATAAGTAACATTTTTTTCTGTTAATACCCTTTAGCTTTGATACAATGTAATCATATCTGTGTTACTTTTTTAAGAAATCCATTTCATTCCTTTAACCATCTATTTTATTCTTTATTTCAATTTATAATCAATTCAAAATACCACAGTGGGCACTTGGGTGGCTCATCAAGTGTCCAACTCTTGATTTTGGTTCAGGTCATGATCTCAGGATTGTGAGAAGGAGCCCTGTGTCTGGCTCCACTCTGGGCATGACCTGCTTAAGATTCTCTCTCCCTCTCTCTGCCCCTCCCCCCCCCAAACAAACAAAAACCCAAACCAACAAACACAAAAACCCAAAATACCAGAGTGGTCCAAGTTCAACTTAATACTTTAGTCAATAACTCTGAATTGAAAGTTTATTTTTTTTCCTCAGCGTTAGAATATTTATTACCACTAGCCAACTAGCTTACCATTTTATCTTCAACATTAGGTTCTCAATTATTAGCTTGGGCCTCCTCTATGATGTCACCATTTCTCAGGATTCTCCCATTCAAAAAGGCTTTTGAATTTTAAGATTTTTTTATTTTAATTAGTTATACAGTCTTTAAGTAAATGCAGTTTATTGTCTTATTGCTCTTGCTTTACCTGTAATTCCCATTTGTTCTGTTATCTTGTTTTTTAACTGTTTTGATTTGAGAACTGGTACGTGGTACCTGAATAAACCTAAGGGGGAGTCTCTCTAGAGACGTAGGACAGCAAACCATCCACACTGACAGGAAAGATGAACTTGGAATAAAGGTAATGGAGATATGGTCTCAATATAATTAGATGTTTTTCACAAATGGGAGAAAAGTAGAAGGTAAATTATTTTGTATCATCTCAATTCATTACCCCATAGAACTTCTCCTGTTTTGTTTTTTTATGAAAACAACAATCATACTCTCACCTTGGACTCATCTAATCCAAGCTTCTTTAGAGACTTTCTGACATAGTCCAGAAAGGAAGAGGATTTTGAATAAATTTTACCCACGTGCCGATCACTGCAAAATAAAGGTGAATCACTTTTTAGTTTTTCCAATTCAAATTACAGATGATTTTAAATTCAATCATGAAATATTTTTAAATACTTTGTGTATATGGCACAAGCTTCAGATTTGACAAAGATGTTGTAATACTTTTGTAAACATTTTTAAATTACATATTATAAAGTGTTTAAGATCTGCTTCTGAGAATTCCTTCAACATACAGCAGTGGAAAACAGTATTTGAAGACAATGCTATGAGAAAGAACTTGTAAACTTACAATATTAAAAAAGCTTAATTTTTAAGGCGCCTGGATGGCTTAGTTGGTTAAGCGACTGCTTCCGGCTCCGGTCATGGTCCCGGAGTCCTGGGATCAAATCCCACCTCGGGCTCCCGGCTCAGTGGGGAGTCTGCTTCTCCCTCTGACCCTCTCCCCTCTCATGCTGTTTCTCTCTCTCTCTCTCTCTCAAATAAATAAATAAATAAAATCTTTAAAAAAATAAATAAAAAGCTTAATTTTTATTTATTTATTTTTATTTTTATTTTTTTAAAGATTTTATTTATTTATTTCAGAGAGAGAATGAGAGACAGAGAGCACGAGAGGGAAGAAGGTCAGAGGGAGAAGCAGACTCCCTGCTGAGCAGGAAGCCTGATGTGGGACTCGATCCTGGGACTCCAGGATCATGACCTGAGTCGAAGGCAGTCGCTTAACCAACTGAGCCACCCAGGCGCCCTAAAAAGCTTAATTTTTAAAGAGAACTATAGGTCTTTCAAAAGTTTCCATTATGCTACAAAACACATTTAATTTTACTGGCAACATTATAGTGCATATTTCACTGCAACACCTGCTAATGGTGGCGATAATTCAACAGCTATGCAAAGAGAACTCCTTCAGTGCCAGCCATTAATGCACCATATGCTGAGTTGGGTCTGACTTGATCTCATTTATGCCCGATTTTCACCACAGTTTAAACAAAATATGAGATGGTTTTAAATTTAAATAATGAAATGTGAGAATATCACATCGCACAACTTTGGTTGCAACTGAGGTAGAATATAAAAATCAAGGAAATAAAAAATTCACCACTTCCAAGTTATCAAAAACAATGAATAAAGCCTTACTTATTACTCTTGGCAGTATAAATATTAAACCCTCTGATTAATTAGACATGAAGATCTATCCATTCTTCCTTTGAAATATATCTCAAATATATTCTTTCTGCTCCATTTCTAGATGGCCACCTCAATTCTACTTATGATTACCTCGGGTCCTAATTATTATAGCTACTTAGTATTTAAGCCTGAAGTCTGTCCTCTTCATTTCTGCCTGCACTGTCATATTTTCTTGGAGGAACATTTTTATTTACTACTTCCCTGCTCAAAAAACTTTCAATACCTTTGCCATTTCTTGGGATAAATTTGAAACTCCTTAGTTAAGTGATCAGGGACCACTATTTTCTGGCTATTCCCACATTTTCCCATTATAATCCAGAATTCAGTTTTCCTACTCATTGTTTCAGACTATTCTCCACTGTTATGTCTTGGTGCATTTGCTCATTCAATCACTTCCCAATGAATTATAAGGTTCTCCACTCTCTCCTTCAGCTCAGTTAAACTAGGGTCACCCTATATGAACAAGCTCAAATTATGTATTCTTTTTGGTAACATAACTAGCAACAATCCTTTCTAATTTTGAATTTCTATAGCCTGTATCCTTCTTCCATTCGTTATATCATCACTGCTTTTAAATAATAGTTGTTTGAATAGATATAGGTTCCAGGAAACAGAAATTATACCCAAGTTTTTGTGTAATTCTCAGATCCTACACATACTTATCTTACGTATAACAGATACCATATAATAGATAATGTACATCTTACCTACTATAGGTGGTGAAAATAGAAGGAGTAAGACCAATTAGAAAGTTATTACAGTAATCTAGAGGAGAGGTTTAGACCTGTGGTGACCTTGAGGATGGTGAGAAGTGAGAGAATTTTAGATATATTTAATGGTAGAGACTACAACATTGTTGAAGGACTGTATCTAGGCAGTGTGAGAAAGAGAGACAACACTGCCTCCAAGATTTCTAGCCCGAGCAATGCAAAGAATATGATTGTTATTAAGTGGACTATAGTTTGGGATTCATCAGCATATAGATGGTATTTAAAGCCATGATGAGATCACCTAGGTAGTAAGTATAGATTAAAAAGAAAAAAAAAAAAGCATTCCAACAATTAGAGCTCTGAAAGAAGAGGAATCAGCAAAATAAACCAAAAAAAAAAAAAAAAAAGAGAGAGAGAGAGAAAGGGGGAAAAGGTATCTTATGAAGGACTTTGCTTACGATACAAGAGAAAAAGGATCTTCACTTGAGTGGGTAAACTGTGTAAAACACTGATGACAGGCCAAGTAAGATGGTTGAGAACTGACAATGGGATTTAGAAACATGGGTCATTAGTGCCCCTGAAAGGGTGGTTTGATGGAGTGATGGAAGTAAAATCTGATTGGAACTCAAGAGAAAAAGGGAAAGAAATTGGCAGCATTTTCAAGGAGTTTTCCAGTAAAGAAAAGAACAGATAAAAGATAGTTGAAGGGAATATGGGGTCCCAAAAGGATTTTCAGAATCTATGCTCTTAAGGACTCTGGTACATCGTTTTATTTAAAAAAACTGAAAAATGGCCATTGAGGAACTCACTAGGTGGTAGAGGAGTAGACACAAACAACTAATTGTACTATCAGGTTCGATCAGAACAGTAAATCACTGATTAAATCCTATGGGAGAAGAGAAGAGGGTGAGAAGGAGAAAAGAAGAATATCACAGAGATGTCTTCTAAACTGGGTTTTAAAGAGTGCTTAGGTTTTACCATCCAGAAGCTGTGGAAGGAAATGGTGGCAGAAATGGGAAGGATATTCCATGTAGCTAGAGGAACTTCAAGGATGCATACCAGATATAAAATTAATTGCATGAGAAACGATGAATAATCCAGTGTGCATGGGCAGATGAATAATCCAGTGCGCATGGGCAGCTGCTTGGGGTGCAGAGGGGGAAAAATGGGGTGATGAATTAGACTGCAAAGGATCTTAGTGACAGATCAGAAATGGTCTTGAATGCCATAATAAGTATATTTTATTGTTTGAGTATAAAGAAGAGGAATTATCAAACATTTTGAAGTTAGAAAAGTGACATGACTATTTCTGAAAGATAAATGATGGGACTTGAAGAACAAATTAAAAGGGGGCCCTCTGTCAGAATAAAGCATGGTCAGCATGCTAAAAAGGAATTAGTAGTCTTTCTTTTAATAAAAGTGAATGCAGTAGCTCTAATTAAAATTCTACTCAAGTGACTCCAACACCACCCACATGTTTTTCCAAAAATACAATTGCAAGAACATGGTTTACATGTAGCACTTTCCAAAGAGGCAACACTAGTGTAGGAAATTTTAGGAAAATGTGAAGTAGATGTATACCAAATAAATGAAAACAAGCACATGCAGGACAGAAAGTGACAAAATCCAGTTTCTCCATCACTACAAAATACTTATAAAATTAATTATTTTGTGCCTTTTTTATGCTAATACATATTGAAAGACTTGAGATTCACAACATAAAATGTTGCTGAAAATGGCAAATGGTTAAGGGAACTCCAAAAATCTTCAAACTACTCTGAAATTTAAAAGACCAGACTTCCTAAGTTCAATTTAGCCACACATTATGGATTAAGTAATTAGTTTTAATTTTGTGAGTCAGTTTTTGTGATCCGGTTTATAACTTTTCTATTTGACTATAGCAAAATCAAAATAAAAATTAAACTAGGTAATATATAAAGGTATCAAAAATTATAATATTTATTGTACAGCTGTATACCATACTCATTATGAAAGAGAATAACTGTGAATAAAATATATATATTTCCCGTGCTCTCTTTCTAGGTGTTTGAAGAGATTTTTACACCATGAAATTCCTTCTTTGACATTTTATTCCCCTTAGAAAGTTTCCAGATAAGGACTAATTATAAAATCAAGAGTTTTCTATAAATTATTGAGTTTGAACATAAATGTTAATGCTCAATCACAATTAAAATTAATAGAGTAAAAATGCTATCATTTAAGTCCATGAAAAAGTTTACTTCTAATCTTAGGCTATGAACAATTACACTTAAACTTTTAGAATAATGTTTCAGATAGTCTAAAAGTACGTATCATTTGCACACTATTTTAGTCAACAAGAAAACAAATTAACCAAAATGAGAAAGAAGTAACAAGGTAATCTTATTTTCTATCTTTAGCATTCATACTTTTTTTTAAATTGAGGTATAACTGACATACAACATATTAGTTTCAGGTATACAAGGTAATGATTTGATTTTTGTATACACTGTGAAATGATCACAAGTCTAGTTAACATGTATCATAGTTACAAAAACATTTTTTTTTCTGGTGATGAAAACTTAAGATTTACTCTCTTAGCAACTTTTAGTAAGCAATACAGTATTATTAATAAACAATAGTCACCATGATGTTTATTATAACCCCGTAACTTACTTATTTTATAATTGCAAGTTTGTATCTTTTGACCCTCTTTACCCATTCTGACCACTCCCCACCTGCCTCTTCTCTGGCAACCACCAATGTGTTCTGTGTATCTACAAGCTCAGTTTTTTGTTGTTTTGCTTTTTTAAGATTCCACATGTAAGTAAAATCATATGGTATTTATTTTCTCTACCTAATTTCACTTAGTATAATGATATGCTCAAGGTCCATCCATGTTGTTAGAAATGGAAGATTCCATTCTTTTTTATGGCTGAGTAGTATTCCATTGTGTGTGTGTTTATCCATTCATCCATCAGTGGACACTCAGGTTGTTTCCTTATCTTGGCTATTGTAAATCATGCTGCAATAAACATAAGGGTGCAGGTGTCTTTTTAAATTAATGTTTTCATTTTCTTCAGATAAATACCCAGCAGTAAAATTGTTGGATCATAAGGTAGTTCTATTTTTAATTTTTTGAGGAACGTCCATACT